AAATAGATAATTAGTCTGTAGCTTGGGCTTGGAGAGGGGAGGGTAGGGGAGGGGGAGGGTGAAACACCATAATTTAAGTCGGCGCCAGGGAGAATGTGGGTCCCGGCGAAGGTAATTACATGCGGGTGGCTGGCTTGGTGGCTTTGAGCCATGGTAACTATGGTGCCTGCACGAAATTCTTCTGAGCGCATAGGACCGGTCGGCGTAGCCTAATTGCAGCCGCCTCTGCCGTAGCCAACAAGCGCTGCCCAAGCAGTTTTGGATAGCTTGATGGGACCTTGTAGATCACTCTGAAGTCCTCTGTGGCGTCTACACGGTGGCCTGTGTCTACCATGTGCGCGAGGATCGAGCTGTTGATGTTCTTTATTTGTTCCTTTCCTAACCATGTTGGGAGATGTTCTTTCATTCTTTTGGATAAACGCCGGCTCGTGCGACCAATATATTCTGCCCCACAGGAGCAGGTGAAGGAGTAGATACACATAGAGGTGGTCTTAGCTGGTAGTTTGTCCTTGCCCTCTCCGTATAGGATGGGACCGGTGGAGAACAATACACGGGTGTCAGCTGCTGGAAAGGTCTGTGATACAGCTTGGGTTAGGCGTCTTCTCAGAAGTTCACTTGGTGCGTCCCCTAGAAATGGGACCCTGATGAAGAGCCTTATCTTTCCTGCCGTCAGTATCGGGGGCTTTTGCGGTCTTTCGGCCATGTTCTTAGCAATGTATCGGTCAGGATACCCGTTTTGGCGAAATAGGCTTTTGATGATCTTAAGTTCTTTCTCAACGCTATCAGTTAAGCAGATTCTTCTCACTCTTTCTGTCAAACAGCGGACTAAATTACGTTTAAGGTTTAGCGGTACGAAACTCCCAAAATGGGTGTATTGTCCGGGCCACGTTTTCTTACGATAGATGCTACGTCGAATGCTGCCGTCAGGTTTAAGTCAGTTTAAGTCAGTTTATTAAGGGAATGAGGCTTTCGCCCTTGAGCACCCTATTCATGTCGATAAACAGAAATAAAGTCATCAATTACATCAGCAACTGCGAAAAGTTAAGAAGTTAGCGGTAAGTGTGAGCCAGGCGCAAACTGCCGCCGCTAAAACAATCATGATTGTATGTACAGGAGGTTCTCAACAAGTGAGCGTCTACTCTGCACTTAAAGGATTTAACACTTTCGGAAAGAACGACGGCATCAGGGAGTCCATTCCATGCCCCGATGACCCTGTGTGAGAAGGCGTTCCGTCGGACGTCCGAATGAGCCCGCTTCCTTTGCAGTTTGAACGGATGACC